AAAATAAAAAAAAGTTTTGGATATTAATTCTTAAACAAATAAAATTAATTTATAAAACAAATTCTCTTAATAGTGAGGATAAAAATGCATTAAGTTGATATAGTTTTTATTAAAGTTATTGAACTCATAAAATATTATACATTTGTAAAATTTAGGTTTTGTTGATTATAATAGTAAGGTTATATTGATAATAATTAACAAAATTAAAAAAAGACAATTCTGAAAACATATCTATATTATTATTAGGTGGTTTATAATTGAATAAAATATTATTATCAAATAGATTAAAATTTGGTAAAATAATAGGTAGTTTAAAATTTGAAAAAAAATATTAATTTCAATGAAATTAAATATTTTGATAAAATTATTATCAAAAAATGAATGTAAAACATTAGTATTAAAAAGATTATCAAGAAGATCAGAATATAAAAAAAAAATTATTTTCTAATTTAAATAAATTATTATTTATATTAAATTTTCACTTAATTACTTTTTTGAAATGTTAAAGGTAAATACTAATTGATATTATTGATATTATTTATTATTAAAAATTTTCTTTTTAAAAGAGTATATAAAAAAAAACAAAAAAAAAAAAAAGTAACATTTAAAATCAATTTAATATAAATAAATAAAATAAATTTTACCAAAAATTTTAAATTTTCAAAATTTTATAAATTAAGAATAAAAATCACTCTGATGAAATAATTTTAAATTAATCAAAAAGATTAATTTTAAATTAATTCTTTATATAAATAAATTTTTAAATTTTATAATTTAACTAATTTATAATTTTTTTTTATTGTTGAATAATTTCATAAATTTTAGTTTTAGGATTCCAAATATCAAATTCTCTTCTAAGCATAGCAAAAGTAGAATCAACTAATAAAATAATATTACCAATAGTATAAACTAAGGTAATAGCATAAAAAAAATTAGCATTACCACTACCTGCATATATCCATAAATAATAAAATATTGGTGATAATATTGAACAATAACAAAATATATTTATTGTTAAAAAATTATATCTCATATCTATAAAAAAAAGATAATAATTATTAAAATATATTATAAAATAAAATAAATAAATTAAAACAAAAAAATAAATTACATTTTATAATTTCTGAATAAATTGGAAGAAATGCTAAATAAAGTGAAGCATCTCCAATTGATGGATATGATTTAAATATTGCCATTATTCCATTTAAAAGAAATATTAAAAATAATGGATGATTTCTTTCAAATATGAAGATTATATAAATATAAATTAAAAAATATATAAATATATATATATAAAATAAATTTTTAACTTACCTAAATTTTATTGAAATTGGTATTATAAATATCAATACGTGTAATTGAAAAACTACCAAAAAGAAACTTCTAAATTGATCAAACATTTCAATAAAGAAATACCAAAATAATCCTATATTTGGTGTTAAATCTGATAATAAAAATCTTTAAAATAAAATTATAAATTAATAAATATTTTAGACGAAATAAAGGAAAATTTAAAAATATCTTACATAACACCATAAGAAGCTTTTAAAAAATCCCAAGAACCAATTAACAGATATGATAAAATTAATAATCCACTTAAACATCCAATGTAAAATACAATACATCCAAAAATCTCAATCTATTAAAAATAAAATTATATTAAAATAAATTTTTTAACATATAAGTAAATATGATAAAATACATACTTTAATATTTTTTTCTCTTAATTTAGCATGATTTATTAATATTAAAATTAATGGCGAAATCAACATAAATGGATAAAAACTTAAATAAGTTGCCATTGCAATCCAAAACATTCCATAACTTTTATTATCTACAGAATAATAAAAATTAAGTTTAATAAATTTGTTTCAATGATATATTTAAAGGTGATTTACAAACCTTTAAGTGAATAATAAGTTCCAAAAACTATTGATAGATTTGTAAATATAATTGTAGATTGTGAAAGACATGATGCAATTGTTAGCGGATTAAATAAATATCTAAAAGTATAGATTTTAATTAAGAATAATAAAAAATTAGTTTAAATTATATTTAATATTTGTTTTTATGGATACAATCCAGCAATAATCCATGGATCAATTTCTTTCGATACATTTTCTTTCAATTCAATTTCGATTCTAGGAAAATTATTGTAAAGTTGCTGCTTTATTCTAGCTATATCTGTTAAAAAATAAGCTAAAATAAGATCTGTCAATATAAATGTTAATTTTGTAAAAATACTTGGTAAATAACCAAGCATTTGAAAACACACAAGTAATAATGGTGCCTTGCAAACGAACAAAAAAAAGAAATAATTTAATCAATTTTAGTTGATTATGATAAGGTTTAGATTATAATTAATTTAAACTTACTTGATGAAAAGCTCCCCCATCATATGGCGGAACACCATTTTCAAATAAATAAAGTCCTTCAGTTACTTTTTTTTTTTTTTTAAAAAAAAAAAAAAAAAAATTATTAATGGTTTTTTTTTTTTTTTTAAAAAAAAAAAAAAAAAAAAAACGTTAACAATGATCAAATTACAGTACGTCGAATGAAACTCGTTACTGGAGTTATGATTTCCACACGACTTCCTAAAGTTTCTGTGATATTTGAAAATTGAAAAAGAATAAGCCGAGTCGCAAAAGCAGCTCCGAATATAAGGACACCTGTAAAATAGGTTTGTATTGTCATTTCTTAAATAAAAAAATTATGAAATATAAGCGAAAGATTTGTATTTAAATTTACAATAAAATCATTTTCTTAAACTCACTTTAGTTTTTTGTGGAAAGAAAAAGCAGTCGATTGGTGATCATCAAAAGCGATTGGCTAGTTTTAAAAGAATGGAAAATTTTAAAATCGAGCGTGGATGTATTCATTTATTTTCGTTTGGCGAAGCATTATTAAAGAGTAAAGGTTTATACCACGGTTTACTAATTAGTGGCGTGAATTTATTTTCATCAAATATCACAATTGATAAATGATATCAAGGATTTCTTAAAACATGATATATTTGGATACAAGATTCTTGGACTATTCGTGTAACGTGATTCTAATTTACTGTGCGAGATTTTAATAAAAAATTAAACATTTCGTTGAACAAAGAAAATATTTATGGTTTAAAATTACCGTTCATTTTTAACTCAAAGTCATGAAAGGCAATAGAAAATTGCTGCACAAAATTCAGTCTCAAGTATCAAAAAGAGCAAAGATGCTAAGTGTCACATGATATGTTTAAGTACAAATTATTAAAATATAAGTATTAATTGTTTTTTTTAATTTGGTTCTCTAAATACTTTTAAATATTAAGAAGGTTCAATAAATATATTACGATTTTCTCTTTTTATTAGAAAATCGTTCTAATGCTTTGGGACGATCTTTATCTTCGTTATCATCAACAGTTCGCTTTTTACGTGCTTCTCTTTCTTGTTCAAGACGTTGTTGAATCTTTAGCTATGAACGATTTAACAAGAATACGTTAATTACTTAAAAATAAAATAAATGAAACTTTGTATATAACACAATATTATAATATTACTTTTTGCTCATCTATAACATTCTTTTGTTTCTTACGAAGGTATCTCTTCAATGATGAACTTTTACCACGCATTTTATTTTTAGGCACCAATTTACCTTTACCAGCAAGCTGTGCTTCCTATCGATTTTAAATAGTTAAATGTTGATTTTCATATACGCATAGTTAATAAACTATAAAATTATACCTGTTCTTCCTTAAGCTCCTTCTTTAGTAAATCTTTGGAAGCTCTATCAACCTTTCCTATGAACGTAGGATCCAACACTATCATCTCTGGTTGAACCTATAAAAAGGTCCAAATTATTTTCTATTTAAACGAATAAGTTAACCTGTTAAGATGTTATACCTTGTCGAGAAGACTATGCACTTCGGCCTCCTGCCTTTGTTTCTTGGACTGATAAGGATTTGCTTCCAAACTGTCAAGATTCGGTTCTCCAGAACCTATTAACAAAAAATTTATATTAAATTTATTGTAACAAGTCAGTTTTAAGATGTAATTTTTTTACATACCGGGAATAATTATACTTGATACTCCATCAGAATGCCCTAATCCAAGCGCATCATCAAATGGGCAAAATTGTATATCCCGTACCTGTGTCCCTGCTTGGAGATGATTCATATAAGGTGATTGTTGTTTTTTAAGAAAAGCATCTTTCCAAATCTAATTTATAAAAGTATTATTAGCGCTTGGTTTTACTAATTCTTAATTTGTAAGTTTGTAAGGTATTATATTATTTACAGTAACATGAGGACCCCAGCCAACACCTAAAAGGCCTAATTGTGATATTGTTAGTGACGATGCTGGGGACCTTGTGTAATATTGTTGTAATGGTTTATATGTCCTTATATCCCATAATTTAAGTTGTCCGTCCAATCCTGATGTAGCCATATATCTACAAAGAATAAGTTGAATTAATAAATTTTGAATAGAGAATTTAAATTCCTATGAACTTACTTTCCAGTGTGATCAACTGCAACAGCTTTCACTGGGCCTTTGTGTGTGAGCATTTTGACCAAAGGAGTTGACATATTAGGTGACCATAATGTAACTGTTCCGTTAGAATGTCCTAGATGCATAATTGCATTCCACGGATTTTGAGCCATCGCATTACAACATCCAAGTTTAGTTCTTAATTCTGCTACTAACTGCCCGGTTGAGGTATCTTGATATTTGAGCCATCCTGAATTTCCCTAAATATATATAGTTTTTTTTTTTTTTTTTTTAATCAAAATTATTTGAATCATTGAGGATTGACTTAATACCTACTACAGAAGCTAATAGGAAGTGATATGGTAAGAATTCAAGTTTATTGACTTCAATATGTTTTTTTAATCGATGAACTTCAAGTCCATTGTGATCGTATATGAACACATATTTTTTTTGAGCTACGGCAAAGAAAAGTTCATTGTGTAGCCATCTAATTAAGGTAAAAAAAAAAGTAGATGAAGAATGAAATTATATTCTTGTAAAGATAGTAAATAATACATACTTGACATCTCGCACGGTTTCTTTTACATATATTTCACAATTTAATTTATTTCCCATCCAGTCGAAACTTGATATATGACCTTTCTGACCTCCAATGACCATATGCCTACAATTAATAATTGAAAGTTTGAATTAATAACCAAGATTTAAATAAATATTCAAGCTCAGGATTAATAAATTATATTTACCTCCCGTTACGTGTATAATCCAATGAATATGGCCCAAAATTTGTCAATTTCAAATCGAAAATCTTTAAATATCAAAAGAGAACATTATAAGACTTATAAAACATCAATTAAACATTCCTAACATTTAACGGTAGACGAACCTTCTTGGTAGAATCTTCGTCCACATTATCTTTTAATTGTTTCTGTGTAATATTAAATGTTTTCTCGATTCCCTCAACCTCAAGGTATCTATTTTTATTCATTAATTATTAATTATTCAAAAGTACGAATTCGATATTTTCTCTATAATTTACATACCCAGGCTCTTCGGTAAGTAAAAGTTCGGATCTTGCTGCTTTATTAGCAGCTTCTTTGGAAACTTTTTCTATACGCTCAAGTTTTCCTTTTAATTTTTTGTCTTTTATTTTCTAGAAATAATATAATATATTATTAATAATAACTCGAAAATTTTAATGATGCATTATTTAATTACCTTGAATTGCTTAGAACCTAGCTTTCCTTCCGTTGGCCTTACATATTTTGGTATTTTTTTAGCTACAGTTTTGTCTATAATGTCTAATTCTTTTGTCATTTTATTCAAGTTAAAGATTATCTTGAAAATAAAATTTTAAAGATCGTCGTTAAATTTGATCATCATGCCGATCAAAACATGAGTCACATGATATCAACAATATACAGATTTATAAGTTGAAATGTGAAAACATTTACTTTGATCTGATCGTATCAAAATTTTACAAAATGACTGAAGAACGACTTACTACTCTACCACCACATGCTCCACCGACCGAAAACTCGAGAACCGGTGCATATTATCCAACATTTCAAGATATGAAAGCTGATTCGATATCTATTTTGGTAGAAACTTATTGGAACAGTAAAGATCCTAATAAGATAGTATGGGATTCGTCTATTGTTGAAAAAATCTATATTGAGGAATTAGAATCGAAAGGTTTTGAACCGAAAAAACTAATGTTACTAGAGCTTAGCCAGTATCTAGAAAAAGTAAATTTGCTATATCTAAATCCAAAAAAAATCCAAAAAAAAAGTAATTAATTTTTTTTTCTAATTGTAGTATCTTTGGCCACATTATGATTCACAAGCTTCACTTGCCCATGTATTATCAATTGTATTGATGGTCAATGAAAAATTTCGTGAGCGAGTAGCTGTATGGGGTAAATTCTTAATGAACGAAACGTACGTTTGAATTAACGAATTAAATTCTGTTATTGATTATATTTTAAAAATACCAATAGATTGTTTTATGAAAAGTCCTGAACAATTCTCGGGTTTTTTCAACCGTGTTCTCGAACTTGCTATTCCTCCACTAGCAAATACACTTTCTCTTATAGTACGAAAATATATAGTATTATTCTTAGTTCATGTTTTTCAGAGTATTGAGAATCAATTAATCCGGGGAGAATGTATGATGTATGTTTAGAGGCGTTTTTTAATCATATCGTATTATTTTTCAATATATATATATGCATGTATATATATAATTTTATTTTTTTTTGCAGATTGGTCTCACTTGTAACATGGCATTGTTTTGGTACAGCGTCATTGAGAGAGCAAGAATTCGCAAATAACAAAGATTTGAAAAAGATTTGGAATGTATTTGTGAAAAGATTCAAAAAAGCAGGTATTCTATAATTCTTTGGTTGGTACTTTTGATAGATATTTATTTTTCGATTAATGTATTTTACCATTACTATTTTAATCTTTTTAATGATATTCAATTTATAGATGAATCACAAAAGAACAAAATGATTTTCGAGAGGACATGGCTAAGCAACTTCATGAAAGCATTTGTGGAAATTTTATATACAATACCCGAAACTGGAGAATGTACGAATGATTAATAATATTTAACTTTTCCTTCCATAATTATTTAGAAATAACATGAATTTTTGTATTACTTTTAGTAAATTTTGAAGTCTTAGCTTATCTTGAACGTTGTCTGGAATTTTTCATTGACCTTGAAGCTCAACTTCCAACAAGACGTTATTTTAATAAATTATTAGAAGACCATCAGATATTGACGCTTTGTAAATTTGCACCGATTATGAAACGTGATATGTCAAAGTTAGTAGATTCAAAGTTTTAAATGATCGAATTGTCATTATCTTTTATTTGACTTTTCCTTGTTTGTCTATAGCGAACTCCTTTTCAAGCAACTTTTAGATATATTAAAGTTCTACGCTGGATTTGAAATTGATGATCATACTGGTTTAGCTTTGACAGATAACCGAATGACAGAACTACATTGTAAAAGATTAACTGTTCTTCAGGTAGATAATTTTTTTTAAACTTTATACTCAAGTTTTATATTTGCAATTTATTTTAATCAACAATTTTTTTTTTTTAATAGCGAATCGCTTTTGAACATTTTAATATCACATTAAAATCATTGGCATTATCAAATTTTGCTTCCATTGAACGAAGGCCTGACTTACAAAGACATTTTGATGCATTAACTCATGAAGAAATAATAAGATTATGTGAATTTTTAAATATTCGAACAAATAAATTGGTTGGTGGAGGACATTACGATAAAGATTTTTTGGTGGAGGTGTTAGTTAGCAAATTTGAAAAGAGAACGAGTCAAATTGACCTGATAAATTCAAAACCACTTTATCCAGATGAGGTTAGTTTTCTGTGAATTAAGGTTAGCTATTTATGAATTAATATATTTATTAATTATAATAATTTATTAGAATGCTCTATTTGATGATGCCGTCGTACAAACTCAATTCTGGAATAATGAAGTGCCACTTGCACTACCAAAACTCAACTTACAATTTCTTACCATTCATGATTATTTGTTGAGAAATTTTAACTTGTTTCGATTGGAAACATCTTATGAAATTCGGCAAGATATTGAGGATGTCGTGAAACGGCTGGCACCAAGAATTTCTTACCTTTCGGGTAAAACTGATTTCACTGGTTGGGCTCGTATGGCAGTAGAAATAGAGTCATTTAAGTAAGAATTTAATTTACAGTATTTAGACTTCTTGACGTTTAATTCAATTAATTTCTAAGTGCCTCTTTTTATAATTAGTATAGTAGAGGTTGGTAAACCGAATATTGGTGAAAGTAAACCATCAATAGTCAAGGCCGATGTATGTTTTTATCATATCTATATAATCATTATTCTTTTGAAATTATTTTATTATAATGAATTTGATTTTTACAGGTGACATTTAATGTTGGTCGCTATACAGAATCTATTCGTAATGAATGGGATTCTTTGAAACCACATGACGTGTTGTTTTTATTAGCAATACAGGCTCATGATGATACTGCTGAAAAATATAAAGATGTTATGCCATTCAGGTTTGTTTAAATAATTTAATATTCTTTTTTTTTGTAAAACAAATTAATTCATAACTTTTAATTTTTTTCAAAAGACAACATTTTGGTTTAAAATATGTTCGAGGCTGTGAAGTTAGCGATATAATTGGTGACGATGGTAACATTCATTTTTAAATTTTTATTTATCTGTGATTTTGAGACAATTTAATTTTTAAACTATATTTTTTTAGGGAAGCCAATTGATGAAGTTGGAAAACCACGTATTGATGATAAGAAACCTAAAATTTCCGGAAATATGAGGACAGTTCGTGTGATTTTGGATCCGAACCAATATAAAGTATAATCGTTTTTTAAAATTATTATTATATATAAATTTTCTATTAACTTAAATTTATTTTAGATTGATATGAATAGATTTTCAAGTACCAGGGATGAAGATGTATATGAAACTTTTAATGTCTTAATGAGAAGGAAGCCAAAGGTAATA